TGTTTAATATGTGGCCTAATCCCTATTAACTACTGACCAGTTGATCTTGATATTAAGAAAGAGTTTTAATTTAATTTGTTTCCCTTGGTTTTGATGATTTTAGTGTCTAAGCAGTTCACAAATGTGTATTTATTTTCAGATCACCCCAATTATTATCCTCATTTTACAGCTGGAAAATTGAAGAATAGAGAAGTGCAGTGATTTTGTGCTCAGTTTAAGACTCCTAACTTGCCAGGGTACTTACCATTATGTAATTTTTTTATATATTCAGAGCAGAGCTCCCACTGAGTCCTGCTGCAGCTGTGAGTACTCAGCTCTTTTCCAAACCAGACCCCAGAGTCTCAAGTCAGGTATCCATACAACTGGGAACATGCAATTAGTGACCATAGTGCAAAATTTGGTGTAAGTACTTACTGATGTTGTACAAGAGATATGTGGCACAAGCAGGAAGAGATGCACCCTGTTCTACAGAGTGACATTCAATAATTTAAAGTAAGACTGTGTTCATTGTTTTCCCCAAACCCTGAACTTCATTCAAAATACACCATTCCCTCTGAAACAAATGACTAAGGGGCTGAGTGTCTCTCTTTACACATTCCTGACTTATCTTTAGCAGCCTGAATAAAGCTGATGCATCCTATGTTGGAAAAGAGTATGACTTCCTCTATTGCCAGCACATTGGTGTGAAAGCGGGGAAAAAAAAGCTCAGATAACTTCAGTTCTGGCACTTGCTAACTTTGCATATTTGCTTTGGCAGCTCACAGACATTTCTTAAGAGAGTGTTTGTAGGTAATTTCCTAGGTACTTAATGAAGCAAAGTGGAAAAACAAAACTCCTATTATGTGGCATCATATTAACACCTCAATGCCTCATACTATTGGGGTTAACTCTTACCTTCTCCATATGGACTTCTGCCCTCTGAATTAACAGGGTAATTTGTAGCATTAATGAGTCGCCAACTTCTCTGTGGAACATAGGACACCTTTCCTGGGGGCCGAGACCAGAGCAGAATCATGGCCCAGGGTTCTCATAATCAATTTCTGCCCAGCAATGACCAGTGAATGGGTTATAGTGTCTAAAAAACTTTTCCTCCTCTACCTCTGTCTTACTCCCCTCTAACCATCTGTGTCCCATTCCTGCTCCTTCCTCATATCTGGCTGCTTGGTTCAGCCACTGCTGTTCTTGTCTCCTAGCCAGTCTCAGTTGCTAATTCTTTCTTTCTGTCAGCCTTTAACTGAAGGAGATGGTTTATCTCATATGGATTTTAAGTCCCAATCCCCCCGGGTCTCCACACTCATATTTCTACTTCCTGAATTCTGCTTCTTAGCTCTAGGTTTCTGACTATGTGTGAACTTTCAAAGCCTTACCCCTGTTTCCTTGTCCCTTTTGATACCTGATCTGTATTTCTCTCTCATCATCCTCTTCTACTTTAGTCCTCCTGCAGCCACAGAACCCCCCAAGAAGTGCTGAAGTAAATTACCTTCCACTGGGATAAAACCACCTGTCATCATCTAGCATGTCTCCCCTCCTTACTACAGCTTTTTTTTTTTCTAATTACATCCCTTCAGGATGTCCACTTACACTTTTACTATAAATAATTGAGACATTTTTCATCCTTATAGCTATGCTGCTCTTTCTGGAAGCAGTCTGTCAAATTAATGTGACTCAGCCCCATAGAAGCTAGCAATCAGTTTTTCAGGGAACATAATTTTCTCTGGCTGAATAAATGCCTATGTATGTAGTGTTGACACTGATGCTGTGATTCAATGCTGTGTAGCTTTTCACCAGGATTTCAGTAGGGGTCTGCAGTAGAGGCCTGAGAGGTGGGGTCAGTGCCTGGATTTCTTTTTGTGCTCTGAAGAATGCAAGGCTCTGCTCAGCCAGGCACTGATGAAAATAAATAGAAATAAGGGTATGGGGAAATTACATGCTGCTGTTTATGGGGTTCAGCTTTTAATAGTGATGCATTAATGCTTGGGTAAAGCAAACAACTTTTATCTTCAACAGAAGAGGTAAGTAAATATGTATATATTATATATTTATGTATATATCTGTACAAAGACACTGATACAGAAACAGACACAGCCCATACTACGGGCCTTATGCTTCATAATGTTCGTGCTGTATAATTTAGACCATCAACCCTTGAAATCTGGAAGATTTGCACTTAACTGAGGAAGACCTTGGTCAGACCTTCACATCAATCTTTGGGTTTGGTCTGTACTGAGCAATGGACAGGGTGAAGTACTGGATGTGAGTAAAATTTTATCTTGTCTGTGTAGTTTTCCTATCACAAATGCAGGGAAAGCATGCTGGTGTAATAATCCTGTGTTTTAAAATGGTATCTTGTGTGTGTGGCTCCTACCCTTCTTGTGCATGTACATTCATAAATAAAGTCAAATATTAAAAAAAAAAAGCTGACTAGTAACAAGGTAATTAGTCAACCAAATGTTCCAGAACTGTCATAAGGAGAAAGAAATGGTGATCTCAAGTTACTTCAGCTCATCATCAAGATCAGCTCAGAGTGTGAGTACAAAGCTAAACTATTGCATATGCTGCACATATGAAAATGGAGATGGAAAGTGATGAGCTTTTTATATGCCCCTTTCCAAACAAATTTGGAGAAGAGCTTAGGTGGTTAAGCAGGTCCCAAATGGTTTCTGCTGCTGAAATAGTCTATTGATGCTTTATTTTTCCCTTTAGATTTTCCACTACATTAAATATTTTAAACTACCAAATATTTCTTTCTAAAGGGAAATGGAATGAAAAGATGTCTTACATGATTTATTACAAATTCAGAGGGAAATACTCCCCTTGTAAATAGCTCTACAAAAAAATAGCATCATCAATTTAAATGTTGACGTGCTTAATATTAAAGGGTCATACTGTACCGAAGGTCTTTAAAGAGAACTTCCCATCCAAAGGAATTGATTTCAGTGAAATTTGATTGAAGTAGGGCTTCTGCTTTCTGGTAGTTGATCTCTCTCTGAGCCTAATTTTGTGATCTCCAGTGCAACTTACCCCTAAATCTTAATTTTTGTGGGTCAAATTATTTCACTCCCTGTTTCATCCTGCAGGCTCCCATGCCACAGCCACCCTCACACTGCAGGCACCTGGGCTGAAGCGTCAGCAAGTGCGTGCTGATGTTGGGGACACACAGGTGCCACAGCACACAGGGGCTGACATGGCAAATCAGAGCCCTGACAGGACTTTAACTGGTGCTTACCTTGTTGTCAGCACACACTGTTCCTGCTCAGGTTATCTGCTCAGGGGTTGTAACAGTGATTGTAAGTGAGCTTAAAGTCAGACCAAATCATCTAATGAGTCACCTACAGCGCAGATTTCCAAAGGTTCCTTCCAAAGGTTTTCCCTCACTGCTCAGTTTTCCTTTGGCAGCTCACACAGACAGTGAATGCCAGCTCTTCCAGAGGTGATTTCTGGCCACCTCCACACCCAGGCCAATCCAGTGACCTCCCCAAAGGGGCAGAGTGATGTGCATTCTCCAAGTGGCAGGGTGTTCAGTATTTAATACATCAAAACCTGTAGAGCAGCTCTTATCATAAGCACAGGCTGGATTTCCACTGGAAAAAATCTTCCACACTATTTTGAGTTTTATATTCTATTTATATATTTGTGATTTTAAGGTTCGTGTGCATTTAGGGATTTTTTACCATTAAACTCAGTGTTCTGGAAAAAAACCCAACTTAATTTAGGGAAAATACTCTGTCTGTTTTCTGTCTGTCTGTTATTATTCAATATGAAAAGGATATTGTAAGTGCATACTCTGCTGAATATGCGGTTTGGCAACGAGTGGCTATTCAGCTGCCCTGCTTCTGCCTCAGAGTTTATTCAGGTCATAAACGAGACATATAAGCATTTGAGTTAAGATTTATAGTTACATTAACTGTATCAGAAGCTTTTTGTACTTAATATAAAACACACTGCAGGAGCTCAACTTTCCTTTATTCCACAATACACTCAATATTAGACATGTTACGTGTTGTAATTACTGACATTAATAGCCTCAGGAATAATGGAAAGTGAGTTAAACACCAGTGTGGTAGATGTAAATGGGATTTTATAGTATGTGTAATTTGGAAATATTGTATGAGTCATTAAATTTGTACTTAACATTTCTTCATTTAGTAATTAAGCAATAACCCAGCAAAACAATGTCCTCACTTTAACACATAGGTCAGATTTTGTTATAAAATCAGAAAAGTGGTTGCCAAGGATTTAATTTAAATCCCATGAAAGATTCAACCTGGTCCTGACACAGCAAAATTGAACCTCTTGCAGACAAATTTTAGGAGAAAGTGGGGACCAGGATTTGTACAGCCCTCTCCAGCACCTCAGAGTGACTCATGTGAGGCTTTAACCAGAACTGCATAGGATAATTTTCTCCTGGAAAGGACGTTGAAGCCACCAGCAGTTCAGACAGGAAATCTAATATGTATGTCTTCAAACCACCCAATATTTGCTGATTTGGAGATGTTATTTTTACCCAAGCTTACTCAAATTTTAATTTTATAAGTAATCTATTTTAGAAACTCCCACTTCCTTCATTGCTTGTTCATTTGCAAATAGATGTCCATTCCAAGTCTTTGCACAGAAGCAGCCCACTGCTTTTTCACAAAGGTCTTGAAAGACTTGGAAACTACAAGAGAGTGGTTTCTTAAGCAAAAAATAGCTCCAGAATGAAGATGCTGCCTTAAATGTTTAAGATTATAAATAAACTTTTAGTGCATACTTTTCTCTACAGTCTTCTACATCTATGTATTGATTAAGCTAACATCCACGTGCACACAGTAAACATATTAACATTCAGATGATCCTTTTTTAGCTTGATGCTAATAATATGTTAAGGCGAACAAAGAAGAAAAATAGAACCCATATTTACCTATAACCCTGGTCTATTTTGAGATCCCAAGGCTTTTATGTTAATAATAAAAACACCAATAAATCCTAATCTCTTTGCTTTTCAAGCATGACAGATAGTCTTTGAAGCACTATTGCATTTATTTCTTCCAACCAGATGTGCAATTTATGTTTTATTTGAAAGTAAACCTTAGCATTATAGAAGACACTTGTGCTAAATTAATAACACAAATATATTTTCCATCACTGGGTAGGACCTTCTCAGGAAAGTCTCCAGTCCCCCTGTCATATTCCAGTGCCTTGCTGATATTCTTGGAACAGCTTGTACGATACTGGTAAGTCACATCATCCATTTCACAGAGATCTCAATGAAGTCTGTCTGAAAACAGAAATAATACAGTAGGTTTAAGCAGGGCAACGTCTAACCCCCAGCCTGCGTTTGCAAGCAACACACTGTAAAGAGAATGTTTAAATACTAGTTTTGAAAGAAATCTGCAATTTATTTCCTTAAAAAATACTCCAAGAATCACATGTGTGACTTTTTAAAATTTTGCAATAAACTTAATGTCTTTGTGTATATTAGAAATATGCAAATAGGATATATATTTTTTTTTGTGTTCTTACATCTTTATGTACTGTGGACCCCCTCATACACTACAGAATTGAAAAGTAAACACTTCAGGGATTTTGAACAGATCACCTGTGGTTTCTATAAAAGAAAAAATTCACAACAACACTGGTGGGTAATTCACTGGCCCTTCCAGGTCTCTCATGGCTGGTGAAGGTGACCCAGCAAGGGCTCCTGATGCTGATGTCCATTGGGACAGCTGATGTCCGTAGGGTCAGCTGCTCATACAGTCCCAGCTCACACAAGTAAATGCCCCTTCACTGGGAATCACTCCAACAGCAGAGTTTCCCTCCACTCCCTGAATGGTGTAGCAGATGCCTTGAGGCTCTCGGACATTGGAAGACATGTGCCCTGCCAGGTTAGAGATACTGACAGCTGTACTTCCTGCATATGGCACTGCCACCCATCTGTCACAAGCCTTCAGGCTTTTACTGGCTGGGAAGAGTGATTAGTGTTTCCTGAGGAACAAATTCTGATCAGAAGTGTGAAGGAGTTATAGACCTTTACCCCTGCACCTAGAAGCAGATATGCAGCATTACTTACCTCAGAGGGACACAGCAGTCCAAGAGGTAAAACAGGAGGCTGAGCTGTGGCTGTCTTCTCTGTGGATGTGCCCACAGGGACTTTTGAGCTTCCTGAAGGAACATGGTGGTAACGGTAAGGTAAATGCCCTTCCAAAGGCAGTCCCCCTCATTATTCATTCTTTATTTCCCTTGTGTTTTCTAGCCTGGATTAGGGTTAGTCTGTGCCATTTTGAGTACCTTAAATTTACATCTGTCCTTTCCCTAGGGATGAACTATGGAGCTCGAGTGATAAGTCACCCTCCCATTCTTAACTCCCCATAATGTTATTATTGATAATTGTTTCTACTGCAGGAGAATCATTAGGTAGGATCATGCCTAGCTGTGCTCACAGTTGTACTAAACATAGAGGAAGATATAGAAATATTTCACAAAATACTACAGCCCTACATAAGGTGTGTATGTGATGTGGTAATTAGATTTCCTGTCCTCTTGGTGGCAGAATGAAGTCTGTAAAAATAGCATACTGAGAAACCAAGGGATCACGGTAATTTGTGTCAATTTTACCTTCTGATCGATTTGAAAAGCATTTATTACAAAGTTAAATGGCAGAAGCAAAAATGCTGCCCCGGGAGCAGTTCGGATGTATACTGATTGCAAACAGCTCTGCACATTCATTACACATCGAATGGCTCCTCCTAGTGAAACCCTGCAGAAACACTTGTGAACTGATTTTCCTCCCTTCCAGTATTTCCATCACATCCTGAACTGCAGTTACTTAAGGGATAGAGCAGCAGGGGGACGCTGGGACATTGTGGAAGGGGGTAAGGGAGTACTATTGAATTATTTGCAGTTTTACTTCATAAATAAAATTGTGCCTTCAGATGCCTGTGTTTGGCTGCTGCTGGTTTCTGTGGCTTCCTTGCATGTACATGTTTGCCAGCTACCAACTGGACTTCCATAAATCAAATAACTGTCTCGAGGAACTTCAGAGAGAAAGCATAAGCTGCAAGAGTTTGAGCTTACAAGACAGTTGTCATCTGTTATAGAGTATAAATCCTCTTTCGTACTTTTGGTAGCTCCTATGCTCTCTGGAACACACAGCAGGTGAATTTTAAGGGAAAACTTGGACCTACAGCTTCTAAAATACTGTATTTTGCATTCATACAGAGAAAAATAAATCTTTTATCTGAGTTGCTTAATTTATTTATCATTATATTTGGATATTTCATTTTGGTAGTAAATATAATTTTTGCAGTTCTACCAGTTTTACTGTAATGATAACTTCATGCTTTAGTCATAAATATATGTCAACATCAAAAACAGAAAATAAGGTCACAGTGAGACAAGAATCTTCATTGTCAATAATGTTAAAATGGAAGGAAACAAGAAAAGGATTTGGTAGAAATATTAAGAATTCATAACTTAAAATTTCTGCAACTTTTCATCTGGAAAATTTTGAAATCTTGAGTTAATTACACGAGAAGAAAAAAGTTTCACCGCTGAAAGGAAGTGATTAATATGAGCTTTAAAATGCTCCCCCAAAGTCTGTAGGAGGCATTTTCCTACAATGTATTTGTAGGGAAAAAATCATCCTCCAAGGCATATCCTTGATAAGCTTCCTCATGGTTTGCTCAGTCCTCTTTTATGTGCTGTGCTTCATTCCATCAGATATTTGGGGGCAAAGGAAAAGAAGATATTTGGAATGGAAAGGTGCTGCAATTTAGAGGAAAATGGGCAGAATTCCTTACACACAAGATACTGTTTTTAGCAAAATTTACTCCTGTCCTGAAGCTGGGAGAAGCCTCTGTGACTAGCTCTCTCCAGTATCCTAGATCTGATGGCATAACTTTCCACAGCTAGTAAGCTGGAAGCTGCAAAAAAGCAAAAGGGCTGCAGACACAATGCTCACACAGTAAAAACCTAAAGCTAATATCACTCCCACTGGGAGGGAATACTTTGCAGTGGCACAGAGATCAGGACTACACCAATTATCTATTAATGTTTCAGGAACATTAATAGAAATAATTGATAAATTAAAACCTGGACTAGAGCTGACCCTGAGGACTTCCCTGCATCCTTGTCTGACTTTGAGTCTCATGGTATTTCAGTGTATTACCTGTGATGGATGCAAAGCTCCAGTTGACGAACAGTTGTTCTTCCCTTACAAATAGGCATAAATCTGTTATGGAAATCCTACTGGTTATTTCTCGACCTTCTTGAAATGACTCTCTAAACACAGCTGCCTCACAGTCATGGTAAACATTCTTCACAAAGGCCAGTTTGCTCTACAGGCCCCAAGGAATGTGACAGCTACATACCTGGATAAGCCTGGGCTCAGTTTCTGTTTCTACAGAAAAGCTGGAGTCTCCAGTGGATGTTGGTAAACAAACCCTGGAGCCATTGCATGTTAGAGATCATAAGCTGTTACTCAGCGCCTTGCAATATGGAGTTGGAAGTGACCTAAATGAAAGAGAATAAAAAGTCAGAAAAGTATTTCAGAAATACCTGAGATGAGTCACTGCACACAGAGCAAGCTGGTATTGAGGTGCTGTGCTCAGTTATGCAGCTGTTAACCCATGGCTTGACTTGATCACCATGCACCAGGCTGAAGTACTCATACAAGTATTGTAGCTGCTGGTAGGCACAAAACCTCTTCCTCAATGTCCATGTATGTCCAGAACATATATGTTGAGCAGGAACAGAAGGAAGGGTAATAGCAAGGAGAGTGGGAGGGATTGTAATCCACTCCTGTTATCAAATATAGGGCCTTGTCTTAGAAGTAATTTTAATCTTTGTTCTCCAAAAGCAGAGGCTAGGTAGATTCATGTTAGAAGCAGCATGCACAAAAGTTAATACTAATATCGATTATATAAGTGTATTTAAAAGGGTTTAGTTCTCCATTGCATTGAAGGGTTTATGTCTTCCCAGAAGTTCAATACTAGAAAGGATATTTTGTAGCTCAAGGTCTTAAAGCAAACACCTGGTAAAATTCAAACTGTTGAGGAGCCAGATCTCTCTGAATTTGCTGGTGCTTTCTGGGAGCTTGTGTTTGTTATTGTGGTGGGAAGGCCACGCAGGGAGTGCTGGAAAGGACACAGGCAAAAAGCTATTGATGCTGTTGTAGGATTAATTCCATCTCCTTGAGTAAGACTGAGTGTAAATCACTGATGAATAAGATACTATTTGCTCTGGTACATGATGGTAGAAATAAGCCCAGAAAGAGCATACCCAGAAACCTGGGCTTGACTGCGCTAGTGTAATGCACCATGCATGAAATGCCAGGCATGCCAAAGTAAAAATGGGCTTCAAGGAGAGAGACTAGCATTAGCAGAGGAGCCCTTGTTTGATTGTAGGGGATCTCAATCAAGTGCAATACTGAAAACAGAGAAAGAGGGAAATCAGAAAGTTAAAACTATAGTCCTGGGACTGGCAGAGGGAAGAATGAAAAAAGAGAAACCTGCTGTCAGCGAGAGCTAACCTGTTCCTTGTGACTGTATCAGTCTTGTTTCCTTAGGTCTTGTGTTACAGCAAATAAGGGAATCATCACCACCACTATCAACACAGTTTTTGCCTTCTTTCAAGCAGATGGCACCATACACCAGATGAATAAGGCTTGAATCTGTCTCTAACAACTTATTAATTATTCTCAAATATTGTCTGATTGACTCCAGCAGTCAAGGGAGTTATAAACAATGCCCTTAGCCCAGTATTACCTCCACGGTCAGAGGGGAGATAGGACAGGAGTGAGTGAGCGAGAGCCCTCTGGTATATGAATACTCTCTGCATTACAATGCCTGCAGCCTTGCCATGACCCACCAGAAAGTCACAGTCTCATTCTCTGACACTGCAATGTCCCATCCCAAATGACGCAGATGAATTTAATCACACAAAGGCCTGAAATACTTTCCAAGGGAAAAAACCCAGTTTCTGTCAGTGAGACTAAAGTGGAAAATTCCTAGCACAGTTAAGCTCAGGGGCTTTCCTCCATCCCAGCTATTCACCAAGCAAGAGTTATTCCAACCACAGCTCAGAGCAATCTGAGAGCAGCTAAAGAGATGCTTCTCAATTTTAAATGTGAAGCTGCACTTTAAGAGAATGGCTGGCAGACAGAAGGGGGAACACGACAGCTGCGGCTGAGGGAGTTATAGGGATCCGGTGCTGCTGCAACCACCTCTGGACAATGGGATCACCCTTTGTCCCAGCTCTGGGCGGGACCCAGAGACTGCCTGGTGGGCCAAAAGCTTCCAGCATCATGGTTTGGATGGCGCAGGCACACTGACCGTAATCCAATGCCTGGAGAAGGAGCTTCCATTACCTGTTTCCTTCTCCCCTAGGGGTGCTTCTTTCCCAAGACATGTGAAAAAAACCCATGGCAGCTGGGGGTCACACCTCCTCTCCGGGACAGCCGAGAGGCATCGAGGTCCAACCCTGAGACTCTTCTGATGTCTTCTGTGTCAGAGGAACACACACGACCTTTTGAAGGTGGTGACTGCTCCCAGAGAGATCTCTGATAAACAGGAAGAGACAAGTATTGCTACAAATCGCTAATCACTCCCAGTATCAGCCTAGCATGAAAATAAAACCAGATTTCCCTAAGGAACAAAGATGTAGTGCTTTTGCCTCCCCTTCCTGCAAATTCAGAGCCCCGAAGGGTGCGGGCAGAGCCATTGCTCTCGCAGGTCACATTTTCCTACCGTGCAATGTGTAGAAATATTCTAGAAGAAGCACAATAGCCTCTCCAGGCATGCAACACCTCGGCAAACCGGCGGAGCGGAGTTCTCCCTCCCCGCGGCGGGGCTGGGAGGGCTCCCGCAGCCGGGCCCGCAGCCGCCGCCCACTCCTGCAAGGACTGCAGGCTCTTGACGGGAGAAGTGTCACTCTCCAGACTCAAGAAAATATGTTTCTCTCTCCCTCTCTGCCCACATTAACGTACCCACACCCCTTTCCCAACCACCTCAAAAATTCAAGGAGGGATGGAAAAAACAGGCAGAAGTGCCTGCGTTTGCTACGTTTGCTTCTGACGCCAGAAGGGATTTAGGGATATTACCGGCAGCTTATTTAGAGAGTCCAAAACCACACCAAAAGCAAAATAAACGAACAGGAAAAAACACGTTGGGTTTAAGCGCACAGTCGGCCAGCATCAGTCCGGGAACCGGGGTAAAGGCTGCTCTGGCTATTCCAGCAAATTCCCGGGAAAGGAACCACGTCCCCCTCTCAGAAAAACGTCCCGGTTCGTGTAAAACACAACTAATGCTGGAAACACACACATACAAACATACACGTGTATTTATACACACATCTCTCTCTCACTTTCTCTCTCTCTCTCTCTCTCTCTTATTTATATAGGGCACTTTATATGGACAGTGCCATGGGAAAGGGATGTAGCGCGCCGGTCTCCTAACCGCCGGAAAAGAAAGCGGGGACATTTCTCGGCCCGGAGGCTCTCTCTGCTCCCCGGCAGCCGGGGCTAGGGGGTCTCTTCTCCCGCCGAGCCGAGCTACACACAGCACTCGCACTATGGTGCGTGGTGCCAAGGCAGAACGGTCCCGATGCCTCACCCCCGCTGCTCCTCTCTTTCCGAGGGGTGCTCCAGCTGGAGGTGAGGTATGGGGTGGGCAACGTGAGACTATCCAGTGCACAGCTTTCCTTTCAAAAAGCTGACTTCTCCGAAGTGATAAACCCCCCAGAGATCGCGGATTTTACCCCCTTCGTAGCCGACACTGCTTCACTGCGTCCCCTTCCTCCGGGTCCGGGTCGCAAAGAGCGGGGGCCGCGTCCCGCGGGGGCCGGGTATGGCCCCGGGATCGGGAGAAGGGAAACAGCAGCTGTGAAAGCACAGGGGCGCAGGGACAGGCTCACACAGTTTTCATGCGGTCGCCTTGAGCTGGCGTCGGGCGGGCGTCACCTGGGGAGGTTGGAAAAGGATGTTCTTGAGGGGGAGAGACCGTCCTTCCGTGTCACGGCGGGCGTCCACACCGCCGGGCCCTCGGAGCAAGCGCCGCTCATCCCACGCTCTCGGCCTTTCCACGCCGATCCACAAATCACCCAGATTCACGGAGCCCAGAGCCTGTCAATTCCTTTCTCCACTTCCAATGAATTTGCACGTCCTTACACCTGTCCTTAACCCAACGAGTGGGCGCTTGCAAGCATAGAGCCAGGTACATACACCTAAAGAAGGCAAAATTCAGCGTGCACCTGCACATTCAATGAAAATACAAACCGGGCAGTACTAGTACAAAAACTATATCTGACTTTTTAAAAAAAGCATTCCTGAAAGACAAACTAAAAATAATTTTTATCATTTAAATTACATATTCCCAATGTAATTCTACCTCTTTCATGCCCTCTTTCACACTTTTTTCTCCAGAGAATGTTCAGATTTGTTTGCAAATGAGAAACTGTATTTTATGCATGTAGGCATAGAAATGCTGAAGGTAATAGGCAGAGAAATTTTAAACTTGAACAAAACATCCATAATTTTTTGAAAGACAGTTGAACAGTTATTAATATAGGAAGCTGGTCGTGATAGCAGTTTTGTACTTTCTACGTTGCTGTAACAGTGCAAATACAAAATTATTGTAAATTTGCAACACCAATACATTAATAATTCAACTGCAATTGTTTTATTATTTTTATTAATTTTTCCATTCAAACATTGCAATTATTTAGTTTTGCAACTATATTTAGCAGGAGTGGGATTTATAATACATAAATTACTTTCTTTTGATAGTCACAATTTATTAGTGGAAGGTATTGGTTAAAAACTGCAAGGTAGAAAAGATACTTTATTAAAATCATATGGAAGCCCTCACCTTAATCCCAAATTGTGTGCATGCAAAGAACAAACAAACTCTTCAAATGTGCAGAACAACTGGATGCTATTTCGTTTTTGTTTGTTTTTTTTTTTCCCTAAGTGACATTTTATCTTATTATAAATGGAGGGTGTTTGTACATATGTGAAGAGGGAGATAGAAACCATGTGGCTCATACCGTGATACCCAGAGACGAAGAGGCTGCTCACAGAACTTGGATGAAGTAAGAGAGACGTAGGACAAATATCTGCATGTTTTAACAATGAAGATGGGATGAATTTCCCAAACTGCTGAGTGTTGCTGAGTTCATAGATGTGAAAACTAATCAATGAATCTACACCCAGGCCCCACCTCGGCCACTCTATGCTGTCCCTGCGAAGTGACTGGCAGCAGGTCTTTGCAGGTAAAGGGTCACTAGCTTGAGTTAGGCCTTGGTTCCAGTCTCGATCTGGGAAGCTGAGAGAAATTCGGAGAAATTCGGTAGATGTCGCACGGACCTGGAGGGGGAGCTTCCAGCTCGGCCTCCTGCCGAGGACACTTGTGCTTTCCCTGATACAGGGTAAGCATCGACCTTTACCACGGAGAGAAGCCCTGGTCCAGGGCGGTGGAAAGTCGCCATGCAGCATCTCCAGCAGAGCTACA